GTATTACCATTAGATTGGCCATCAGTGTTCATAGATTAGACATTTGCCTAATCAAAATTACATCAACGATAGCAGATAACAATTTGTACCTTGTAGTATGTATTACATTATTCCTGGAACAGTTAATAGAAACTGCGTTTGTTTAAATCTATTTAGCGAATGTAGAAACGGCAAGTGGTACTGCAAACCGGACCCAGATTGTGGTAAGTTAACTTTTCAAGAAGTGCTACTGAAACTGAAACATGATTGGCTGTCACTATGTACAAATATTTCCATAATTTTAATTTGCATAGATAAGCTTAGGTAAACGGGTAAGGTGCAGTACAGTTTATATAACATTTAATTTAACTGCACCTTGGCTACCTAATGTTCTAATATCACACCTGTATATGTGTGTAATACATATTCTACAGCTCACTAATAATTACTGCGTGGGTGTTTGTGATCTTATAGTTCAACCACCTTGCCCTATGGGAATTCCTTTAATTGGTGCTGATGGGAGTCCCGTTAGTTGTGATTCTTTTGATAAGCAGTGTCCATTTGGCTACCATTGTTACACCCATCCAACTGACTTGACATCAGTGTGCTGTCCAAATACAGGTGAGTGCACACTAATCATTTAGTTCATGAAATTCGCGAATCGTTAAAATTTCATGAATAATATATGCCTGCAATATACTTGCAGAATGTGTGGATGGTGCATGGACTGTCTGGTTCGATAGAGATGACCCAGGGACTACCGGAGATTGGGAAACGACATCACTTGCCATCAAGTTGTATGGTGATAACATGTGTACCGATCCATCGGCAATACAAGTGCAGACTCTTGACGGTATTCCTGCAGAAGATACTGGTGAAATATTCTTGCATTATTCACCAGACATTGGTTTTGTGTGTCGGATGGCAGATCAGCCAGATAACACTTGCTTTGACTATCAAGTGAGATACTGCTGTCCAGGTAACACATTTATTATATTGTATATTACAGGAAAACCGGTATACATTCACATGTTATGTTTTCTGAGTCACAAGTTAATCAACAATTTCTTTTAAAATAGTTGTGTCACCGTGTTCCGCGGGATTTCCATTAATTGGTGAGGATGGGTCTGAAGTGTACTGTGGTCGCGGTGGAGTTGAGTGTCCATTTGGTTACCATTGTGTTATCCATCCTGCTGATGCTTTTGCTGTATGTTGCCCAAATACAGGTGAATCCAACCTTATCCAAGTCTCATCATGAAGTTGGTGTTATGCAATGATCGATGATTTTAATCACGTATTAGTCAAAAGTCTGTGAACAAAAACAAAACAATTTTTAATTTCACTTGTAGAATGTGAAGACGGGGAATGGACTATCTGGTTCGATAGAGATAACCCAGGAACTACCGGGGACTGGGAAACGACTCAAGATCTAATAAAGCAATTCGGAGATCTAATGTGTTCCAATCCATCGGCGATACAAGTGCAGACCTTAGATGGCATTCCTGCTGCGGATACTGGTGAAATATTCTCGCACTATTCACCTGAAGTGGGATTTGTTTGTCAGATGGCAGATCAACCAGATAACACATGTCTTGATTATGAAGTTAGATTCTGCTGCCCAGGTAATATAACACACACACTAACTGAATATCAATAACATCTAAGGAATATTGACAGTGTGTAGTGTAGCTCCGCACAAATGTGTACATTAGAAGTACAACATTATAGGATACAGTGAGGTTATAGTCGTAGATTAAGTCAACCTGTTATGGTGGAATGGTTCTTCAGAGGTGACACATATGTATGTAACAAATATTCTTCTCATATTAAAAAAATATTGTTGAGATGTTGTCCCGTGTTTAAAAACATTGATTCCTCGTTGTGGTATGTCCGATAACGTTGATTGTATAATATGCAATGTGTAATGTTTATTCAAACAGCTAATCCCCCATGTGATGGTGAATGGTCACAATGGTTCGACGAAGACAGTCCAGAAGAAGGGATTGGCGATTTAGAAACGCTAGCAACACTATGTGAAAATACGTGCGAACGACCCAGCGCAATTCAAGCCCAGACTATTGATGGCATACCAGCTGAATTAACAGGCGATGTGCTCCTCAGCAATGATATCATTAATGGATTTGCTTGTTTGAATGAAGAACAGGACGATGAGAAATGTGAAGATTATAAAGTCAGATTCTGTTGTCCTGGTAAATCAATATTCAAATATTCACAACAAATAATATGTTATATGTTTTTACGTTATTTTCGTTGAATATTTGAATTTGAATATTACTTTGAATTGAATACTTATTATAGGCGAAAAGCTGTCTCGTCTCATTAACCATGTTAATTTATGTAATATCACTATACAGAACAGCCAGATTGTGACAAGTGGACAAAATGGTTTAACACCGATGAACCATGTGAAGGTTCAGATGCAGATCGTGAAATCACTGCCGTAATCCAAGATGAATATCCAAATGAAATGTGTAAAAATCCGTTATTCATCCAAGTTGTTGTCGCCGCCACTGAACAACCTTCATCAAGCACGGGGCAGGTATTCCTACATCACGATGTCGATCCTGGATTTGTTTGTCTTGACAAAGATCAGCCAGCTGGTGACCAATGTCATGATTACAAAGTTCGATACTGTTGTGATGGTACGTATTTATATACATTAATTATGTTAAAGCTGGAGGGTCGTCACCTGCGCACGCGCGGGAATTCCCAGGCAACGATAACAACACACGCTAATAACGACTCATGGGTAGACGCTTGTTTGTAAACAATGACACGCTATGGCCATCTGAAGCATGCGCAGGTGACGACTCCCCCGCTTCGACTATTACCTACAAACTTGTCATTCAATTACACAGACACATTTGGGATTGCTGCACTCGTACCTGAACACCTGAGAGTTGCCACGAGGTTGTTATTTTAGATATGCAAAATTAATTTCTCTAAACGCCACAATGATTCCTTCCAGAACAACCTGATAAACCCGGACAATGCCCAATGGTACCATCTATCGACGCTGTCCGTCCAAAGGGTTACTGCTACTATGAATGTCAAGATGATACCGATTGCCAGGGGAAGAAAAAATGCTGTGCTTCTGGAATATGTGGCACCATTTGTATGGATCCTGTGTTCCCATGTTTCCATGAGGGCGTGATTTACCAGGAGGGCGATGAAAGGAAAGAAGACTGCAATACCTGGTAGGTTATTAGTGAATGTAGTGGACATTTCGTTACGTAATACTAAAGATGAACTAGATACGTTTATTATTAATTCTTATTCAAAAAGCTATATTTCATTATGCTAACACCTGGGTTCGAAGTCGCTTATTTTCAAACATATATTATATATTCTTGTTTAATTTTGTTGCATTGCTTGATGGATTCAGTTATAGTGTGGGCGTTGAACCCAATATTTACATGCCAATCGTTTGGGACATTTCAATTCATAACGCATCTGTAAATTGGAAAGCGTACATGCAACCAGTAAGCATGTAAGCGAAAGCAACTTAAAAAGAGCGGATGAAGCCACTAGGAGTAAACAAACTGTATTAGTATTACAAAAATATTTAGTGACACTGACAGAAATGAGTGAGTTATGATACACCCTGTCTGGGGCTTATTATTTTTAATCTCTGTCCCAATATTTGTACTTAATATGGCAGTTTATTCAATTAAACTATTTTCAAATGTGCGGTTCCTATCATTACTATAATAACATGTTATTGAACTGCGAAAAAGATCAATATTTGGTTGTATGGCAATTTCCCACATTTTACCCTATGTAAAACAATTTTCCAAATAAAACAAAGCCAGCAATGCTCTGATGTCATGTAGTCGAATAGCCTAACCCTGAGTACAGTCCTGTAGGTTGGTCTCCTTCCGCTGATCATTCGGCCCCCACAGTATTGAGAAGTCGCATAGACCGAGGATTCGACACCCGCCTACAAATATATGGCGGAGAACCGTTCTGCCGTTTTCATGACGGTAACCAGCTAAAACCTCTTTCGACCCCCCTTTCTAACTCTTCCCACAAAAATAATATATCGCCCCTTTCAAAATGTATTTACCCACAAATTAATGAATATTCATGAGCACAGAAACTACCACGTCATTAAT